GGGGGAGGGGGCTCAGTGCAAACCCGCGGCGCTCCAGACGCGCCAGGAGGGTGCAAGCGCCAGGGCTCGCCCAGCGCAGACGCGAGCGCGGTGGCCTCGGGACGCGCGTCCGGGCGCACCCCGCTTGTCTTTTGGGCAAAGACGCCCGGTGCCTGGGGGCGGACAGAGCCCCGTCTTCTGCCCTGTTTAGCAGAAGGAACGTCTTCTGTTTGCCTTGAGTGTGAGGAGGTGTTTCTAGAGCGTCTGTCTTCCCCTAACTGCCAGAGCGAGAGATGAACGACCGTGTGGACATCTCCTAGGGGGACGCCGCGGTGGGAGAAATGGACCCTGGACGGAAGGCAGCACCTTCCAGACGGCTAAGAGGCTTTCAAATAGGGGAATAAATGGTGGGGGGGAAAGAGAGCAATAAGTGAAAGCCATATTTATAAAGTTTCTTCCATATGCACGCGGGAATTGGCACAGGCAGGGTTGGAGGGGGGGAAAAACTCAGAAATACGGGCTCGGTTGTCAGTCGGGTTGGCAAAGCTCCGCTGCGTTTTAGATCCGCGAGCAAATAAAACGCACGTCCCCGGGGAACTGTGCTGCGCTATTGAGGAAGATGGACTTGAATCCCAGAGCCTCCTGGTGGTTTGTGTNCAGGGGCTCCCTGCCCCGCCCCGCCCGGCACGGAGCTCCCCGGGGTGGAAGGCCTCGGGCTCGAGGGCTCCTCCGCGATGGGAAACTGCCCGCGTTTAGTCTTCTCTGGGGACCCGAGGGGCCGGGAAGGAAGCTGGGGGGACACTGGGCAGGGCTGGTGTTAGCAGAGTGCAATTCTGGGGGGACGGGGGTCGGCCCCTCTCTGAGCATCCCAGGCTGCGGTGGCCCCCTAGGGGAGAGGGGGGGCTCACTTTCTCCCCAGCGCCAGGAAAAGCCCTCGAAGTTCCCCAGGACCCCGAGAGTGGGCGTTCCCGGGCCGGGGGAGTGGGGTCTGCGGCCCCGATGGGGCTGTTCCCGCAGCTGTAAAATGAGGGGCCACCCCCGGGCTTCGCTCGGTTTGGGAAGGGGCTGCGTTACCTTCCCGGCC